AAGACAAAGACAGTAATGGATTCACTGGTGTTCATGCTGCCTGTGAAGCTGGTAACATGCGACTGGTATTACATTACTTGAATAAACTAAAGTGCAATCTTTATTTAGAAACATACGAGTCTAAAGGTCTGTTGTATTTTGCTTGTTTGAGCGGTCACTTGGAAATGGTTCGTATTTTAATGGAAAAGTATCATTTGAAACCAGTTGAAGGAGACATTGATGCTGCCCAGTCAATGAAAGGAGGAGAGTCTATAGTGAAATTGATGCTGAGACGGTTTTACTTTATAAAATTAGTACGAGAAATGATTAAAGAGGCAGAGAGAAGACAAATAATGCCTATGGCTATTAAACCTCGTCCTTCATTTTTATCTTCTTAAATCTTAAACTGTATAACTACATAAAATAGTTTGTTTTTTCATAAATGTCATTGTCATACTTCATTCTTTTCGTTTGTTTTTGTTAGAATCGTTTCAATTTGTTTGTATGTATTACCAATTCACCACATCACACTCATTCTCTACTACACCTTCACTTCTACACAAACACATTCGATCGTTTCCTTTCTTCATTATATTAACACTATGGCATCAAATCTCTCTCTCGTTAACTTTAATACCTTCAAGAATAATGGAGACTTCTTGTTAGGTAATTTTTTTTCATTTTCGCAGCAGGCAATTTTTTTATTTTTGATGATGTTTATTTACAGTAAAGTAATGCTCAGTATTTATTTATTATTTCTATTGGTAGTTGTTATACAATATGCAGCATTATGATGATTTCCTCTGGTTTATTATTCTTATTTTTGTTATTATAAATCATTCATTGTTGTATTGTATATTATGTTGTATTGTTTATGAGCATTAATAGTTTGTGTACTTGTTTCTGCTCCACTTTTTATTGAAATGAGATTTCTTTTACATGCCATAGCTTTTATACATTAACTTTTATTGAATGTGTTTATATGCATTGATATTACTTATCATTAGTAATACTTTTATTAATTACCATCATAACTATTTTTGTCTGTGTGTGTTATTATTATTATTATTAATTACTATTGCTGTTGTTGCTAATGTCATTATTTAGTAAGCTGATGAACTGAACTAAAATATAAACTAGTACTTTAAAAGTTATTGACATTAATTTTTAAATATATATACAAATAATTGTATGTTTATATTTTTTAATGATACTCTGTACTACTGGTATGCTGTTATTAAAAATAATTCTTATAAAATAAGGTCATGTTTACACGACTCCACCACATCATTTTTGTTATTCCTGTTTCAGGTGTTTACACTAATCCAGCAGCTGCATTGTCATTAGAATTTATCATTTGTTTATAGAATTATTCCTTTTAGTATTTGTTTTTATTTTGCTTGGATTTGATATCAGTGTAAACCCAACTAAAAATGTTTCTATTTTTGTTAAAAATGTAGTCGTGTAAATGTGGCCTAAATTAAAAATACATTTAAGGAAATGCAGGAAGCTCTATGTCCATGGATAATGAACTAAAGGCTCCATTGTAAGTTTATTTAAGAATTACTGATCCTTTTATATAATATTAATGTAATACTGAGTTGATATCATGTTATTTTCAGTCTAGGCTGCTGAAGTTGATGAGGCTGAAGGCTCTGGACTTATGAGTAATTGTAAGTGATATAGTATTATTAGTAACGCGGTAGCGTTACTAAGTAGGATTCAACCCACTTCAAAATGGCTGCCATGACTTTTGCAGCTTTGCTATATAACTATAGGACATTTGAAAGTATTTTGGAGCCATTTTTCAGAAAAAAAACCATGGGCTATATCCTAGTAATAAAAATTTGGGGTGATTTCGGAGCCATTTTTTGGAAAAACCATGGGCTATAGCCTTGGATATTTTTCAAAAATCGGCCGATTTCTTAAAATGGCCATAACTCAAAAAATATTTGTCGGAATCAGCTCAAACTTTCTACACAGCATGTGGACATCAATATGTATCAGAAAATGTAATAAAAATTTGAGGTGATTTTAGAGCCATTTTTTGAAAAACCATGGGCTATAGCCTTGGGTATTTTTCAGAATTTGGCCGTTTTCTTAAAATGGCCATAACCTGAAAAATTGAAGTCGAAATCAACTCAAACTTTATGCACAGCATTAGTACATCAATTTGTATCAGAAAATGAAATAAAAATTTGGAGTGATTTTGAAGCCATTTTTCAGAAAAAACCATGGGCTATAAACTTGATAATAATAATAATACCTTTGGGTATTTTTCAGAATGTGGCCAATTTCTTAAAATAGCCATAACCCAAAAAAAAATTTTTCAAAAACAGCTCAAACTTTCTACATAGCATAAGTACATCAATATGTATCAGAAAAATTAATAAAAATTTCAAGTGATTCTGAAGCCAATTTTCAAAAAAAAACCATGGGCCTTACAAAAAAGGGAACTGAGCCCAAAAATAAGTTTTATTAAAAAGAGAAAAGAAGAACAACAAAGAAGTTAATTCACGAAGTTACATTAATAATTGAACACAAGTTAAGTTAATAAATAATCAAGAGTTAAATTGGGCATCATTGATTGCCCTTGCAAAATCAAGTGGATCTCACTAAATGAACTTTCGACCTTGATCCCATGAGGCAGCAAATTGCAGATCTATGATAGAAAATGAGTATTGACATTGGGCATTTTTTAGAAATTTGCCGGTTTTTTAAAATGGCTATAACCCGAAAAATATTTGTCAAAAGCAGCTCAAACTTTTTACATTGCTTAAGGACATCGGTACATGTTTGTGTACTAAAAGAAGAGAGGACGAAGAATAAATTTGTTGAAATTCTTATTATTTTTAATAATAATAATAATATTATTATTATTATTATTATCATTATAGTGATCTAATTGATAATCATGGTGTGTGCATATGAGTGTTAGGTGATATTAAATTATTACCAACTGATGTACAAGAATCAGTAGCAAGAGCTGTGACAATGACTAAAAACAATAACAAGTAAGTACATGTACATGTACTTATTATAATTACATAAAGTAAACTTACTTGTACTGGAAAGTGTGTCAGTATATC